GCTATGCAGATCTATCCCATAGTGTGACGTTTGGGTCATTTCCAGGTTATTCCCACTTCACAGTGAAGAATTTGGGAGGATTGAGTAAGGCTCTTCCATGCAGTTTAGGAGCTGGGGTTGGGACATTTCTGAGAACTGACAGGCTGTTATAGGTGTACTTGTTTGGTGCAGTTCCTAGGCAGACAACAGGAGAACTTGTGTGAGGTGCCAACCTAGACCCTGCCAAGTTTAGATGCAAGTACATTTGCCTTCAACCTAATCTCCACCCAGCCCACTCTGTCCTCCCAAGTGCTGAATGAGTGAGGAGCTGAGCCTTCTCAGAGAGGCAGGTTCTTAATAGAATTTCAAGAGAATGTAATGGCAGAGTAGGCAAGATAGTTTCTGTGTCTTGAGGATTTACTGTCCTTTGCTAAACCTTCTTACATGACTTTGCAAGCCAGCCTCAGGCACCGAGTTCCCACCTGTCCACACCTCCTGGCTTTCCTGCAGCTGGATGGCAAAGTTCCTTCTCAGACATGATCTCATGATTTCCCAAACAACCCTGGGAGGTGGGCAGAACAGGTTTTATTGTCTCCATTTGACAAGGGTGGAAACTAAGGCCCAGGGGCCTGCACAGGCTACTCAGGGTCACAGCGGGTTAATGGAAGGTCTCTAACTAGAACCTATATCTCCTGATGCCAGCCCAGAGACAGAAATTTGGAGAGTAAAATGGAAACTTTCATTTCTGTTCAGAGTTGTCACAGGCTTTTTGGAATTTTCTGATAGGAAGCTTTTTCAGGTGACAGAGGGAGAGATATGAACTGACAAGGCAGTTCCTTATCCATACCTATGAAACTCTTTTGTGCAGATGGGGAAGGGGATGGGAGGGGGGTGGGGAGATTCAGCCCAGACTCTTATGCATACTAGATAAGTACTGATCACTAAGCTATATACCCAGCCCTATTTCTTCCCATAATTTTTGAATTAGTGTTGGCAATGATTATCATTAGAGGTTGTCTGTCTCTCCTCTGCTCCCTTCCTACATGATTCCCTGGGTGTCACTCTCCTAAGAGAAGCCCTTACCACCTACCTGTCTCCCTCATAGCCCATCTGGTTGACTTCCATACTGTGGGGCCTCACCATCTGGCTGCAGAGCCTGTCTGGTGGACAGACAAATGCCTGTCACCATCACTGTCTTTACCTGCCCTTAGGTTTGCTGGTGCACTCTGACTGGGTAATAGGGCCATGTCAGGTTCTGCTTTTTTGAATCTGTCAGGAGTACAATGGTTATGGGGTAGTCCACTGCAAAATTCCACTTCTCTTATCCCCTGTGGCCTAGGCAATCTGTCATAGATTGTGAATGAATACCACCGTAATTTTATTGCTGACCCTCTCAAGCAAAAACTGCTGGTGAGCTGAAGGAGGTGGTGCATGCCTATAATCCCAGCTCAGCTACTTTTGAGGCTGAGTCAAGAGGATTGTATATTTGAGTCCAGCTTAGACAACTTAGTAAGACTGTCTTAAAATAAAAAAGGGCTTGGGATATAACTCAGTGCTTACCTGGTATGTGCGAGTCTCTGGGTACAATCCATAGTTTAAAAAAAAATGCTAATGGGAGAGATGCTCCTTCTGATTCCCTCTACTTCCCTTAAAGATCAAAGAATGCTGCAGGTAGATGTATAATATTGCAAATGACAGAAATGATAAGAGTAACAATGGTGTGGTTTCTTCATGTGTGAAATGGAGATAGAGGGCTATTGTAAGTCAGTGGTTCTCAGCCCTGGCTGCCCATGAGTTACCAGAGAGCTTTTAAATATCTCTATCTCCAGGCTGTAGCTAAGAGCTAGGAGCTCAGAATCTCCAGGCTGAGACCTAGACCCCAGGAGTTTTAAAGTTTTCAGGGGATTCCAATATGCCACCAAGGCTGAAAACAAGTGCACTAGGATCAAAGAGTTGGCTAATTGTTTAGAACAGAGATATCCCTGTAGAGTGTAGTAGGACACATTTGTAAACCTAGCTACTTGATAGGCTGAAGCAAGAGGATCTCAAGTTCAAGACCAGCCTCAGCAACATAGTGAGGCCTTGTCTCAAAAAACAAAAAGTCTTTGGGGTGTAACTCATTGGTAGAGTGCCCTCTGGTTTCTAGTCCCTGTACTGGCACGGGGGGCGGGGGGGAACAGGGATATTCCACATCTGGCTATTTTCTGGAATCATGGGGGAGGGGTTCTTTTAAAATTATGCCAATTTCTTAGCCATACATTCCAGACCATTTGAATCAGTGACTTCTGGCTGTAGGTGCCTGTGCTCAGCTTTCACCTCAGCTAGTGGTTATGCTGATGCTGGGCCAACATTATAAATATTTCCAGTCTTCATAATTATCTAGCCAAGGAATCATGATTCCTATTTTACAGATAAAGAAACTGATGTTCAGAGCAGGTAGCAACTTGAACCATGTGATAGCATAAATAAGTTCCTAAGGCCATGCCTGTCTTATCTTGAAGACTGATATTGTTGATCAATCTCCATTATGGGGGCTTGGGGCATGGCCCTGGAGAAGGGTGTTCTCTCTTCCCTAAATGGCTCAATCAGATGAGGTAAACCAGCCAGCTGTCTTTGCCTTCCCTGAGATTCCCCACAGCAGGTTGAGCACAGGGTCCTTCCCCAGTGAGGAGAGGTGAGATGCAAGGTGTGGCTTGGTATTTGGCTCCTCTTAGTCACCCACTCTCAAAATACTTTCTTTGGAGGGAGATTAAGTCTGTCCCAGTCATCTCCCAGTGCAATGCTGCTCTCACAAGGAAGAAACTCAAGAGGGAAAAGCAAACACTCATTTGCTTTTTGAGAGTTTGAGGAATTTTTCAGGCATGTGACATAGAAAAATGTCTCTGTTCCCCTCATAAGACAAAGAGTAGGCTATGTCAAGGTGTCCTAAAACCTGTAGCTCTACTTGAAAAAATTGCTTTTTGCCCTTCCCAAACCCTAATGTAGTCAAAACAGCTTGGGATTGGGAGATGGGGGACTTGGTGCTACCACCTGCATGCTCTGTGAGCTTGAACAGCCCACTTAAAATTGTTCAGCTTCACGTTCTCCATCAGACAAGTAGAAACTCAGGGCTGCTATGACAAAGCCACAAGAACTCTGAAATGCCAGTAGCCTCTTGAGGCATCAGAAGAAGAGGAGTGTGGCTGCGCTGCCACCAAGGCTCACAGCCGTCTGGAACCAGAAGGTTTGTCAAGTGTTTGCTGGCATCCTCTCAGGACCCAATGTCCCCAAGGCCAGAAGTAGCTCCTAGTGACCATCAGTGTTAGAGACACGCTGAATGCATTCAATCTGGCTTCACTCCATCTGTATCAGTCCCTAGTGTATGGGCAACTGAGAACCAATGTTTGGGGTCTAAATAGCTGAAACTTTAGAGTTAGTGGACAGTGCAATAAAAATTTGGCTCCAGAAAACCTTCCATGCCCAGCCCGGTCCCCAGGGACCTCTTTCTCCCCAGAACTCCCTCTGCACCTGTTGCCTGTGCCTTTGGTCCCTGCTCCTTACTGCCCAGCACACAGCAGATGCTCAGTGTTGAGTGAATGGGGGATGAGGAAGGAGACATTCATGAACCTGTGTTTGTGACATTTCTAAAGTGCTTGCCATGGAATGCTGTATAAGTGTTGGTGAATCTATGCCTTGCTTGCTCCACATGACTTTCTTGTTGTCACTCAGTTTATTTTGAAGACCATCTGACTTAGGGTTTTTCTAATAATAGAATGGTCTAGATGTAATGCTATTTTCTGAGGTTGAGGCAAATATCCAGGGTATCTCATCACCCCAGAGCCACTAAGAGAATACTTCTTTAGTCTGGGGTTTGGTGGCCCCTTATTAAGCCATTAAGCTGAACCGTAAAACTTTCTGATCTGGGTGTGATGGCTCAAGCCAGTAATCCCAGCTATTGGGGAGGTTGAGGCAGGAGGACTGCAACTTTGAGGTTGGTCTCAGCAATTTGATAAAAGCCCATCTCAAAACAAATATAAAAAGGGCTGGGGATGTGGCTCATGGGTAGAGCACCGTTGTATTTAAAATCTAGTACTAAAAACAAAACAAAACAAAACTTTCTGGGTTACCCAAGAAGTGGGTTTGTGGGGTGGCAAGAAAACCTGGGGCAGAGTAAAAAGGGATTATGAGAACCCTCAAGAGGTGTGGCCACTGACAGTCTGCAGGGATTTAGATCTGCCCCTGCTGATGGCCTGCTTAGAGATGGAGAAGCATAAGATTGCTGCTCTTCTCTTGGGGGTGGGCTGCCCTTGGAGCACTTAGGAAAGCTGGCTCAGGGCTACTTGCCCCTCTGGCATGGGCACGCTTTCATGGTTATTGCTTTGAAAGGATGAAGTGAAGGATTCCTAGGCCCAGCCCCAGTTGCTACGGAGCAGGCCTTCACCCCTGTGACTGTCTGAGGGGCTTTGTGGACCGTGGGTTAGGCAGCCAACTTTTGAGGCTTGGGTTTGGGATTAACACTGTGATGACCTCGGGCAAGCCAGTGCCTCAGTTTCCTAATTTTATAACTCTGTAGTCACACTGTCATGGTCTCCCACTATGATGATTACCCTTGTCAGGCTGCCTGTACCCCAACCTCCACCCCAACCAGAATACCTATCAAGACCACCTGCTTATAACACTGTGATTTCATCTGGTGGATTAGACTTGGGTGCCAACTTTGCAAGGTGATGCTTTATAAGGACAAGGCTGTCATCCTGATCAAGTCAATACTTTTCAGGGGCTTGGTGTTCACCTTTGTATACTCAGGATAACAATTTTTACATGCATTCCTAGTTAAAGGTAGAAGATTTATGAACAGAAGGGAAGCCAAATACTTGTGCCATCTTGGTCACTGGTTGTCAGCCAGGTGGGGATGCTGGCCAAGGGCATGATTTGTCCTGTTCTGGTAGAATGACTGAATTAGTAACCCAGTAGCTGGCAGTGGGGGTAACTTCCCCAGTGGGCACAGGACATCCTAATTGTTTGTGTCTGTGTTCCTTCAGTGGCCAGTTTGCTATCGTGAAGAAGTGCCGGGAGAAGAGCACAGGACTGGAGTATGCGGCCAAGTTCATCAAGAAGCGACAGAGCCGGGCCAGCCGGCGGGGTGTGTGCCGAGAAGAGATCCAGCGGGAGGTGAGCATCCTGCGGCAGGTGCTGCACCCCAACATCATCACGCTGCACGACGTCTACGAGAACCGCACCGATGTGGTGCTCATCCTCGAGCTGTGAGTGAGGTGCCAGTGACCCACGGGGGCAGGAGGGGCGGGCAGGGTGGTGAAAGCTTTAGCTAAGGCTAGGGGATAGCAATGACCAACCTAAGCTCAGACCAGAGGTGAAGACAGTGGTGGGCAGTTTCCCTCTTCCTCAGTCACCCCCATGCTTCTTCTGAAACTGGACCAAAGGAGGGACAGACAAGCTTGCTGAGTAGCAGGGGCAGAGGGCGATGGTCTCAGTCTTCTTTTCATTGGTCCTGGGGATGGAAGGGAAGAAATGACTGGCGCTGGGTCATCTTCTGGCTGGAGGAGCGTGAGGGAGGGTGAGAGGGGGCAGCGGGTGGGGTGGGGAGCAGGGGAAGCTGTCAGGAAGGAATCTGTTCTATGAGGAGGGGAAGAACAAACATCCTTTGAGCTCTATGACGCTCTTCTCCAGCCCTTTCCTGGGGAAAATCCACTGTATGTGTACTCTGTTTAACACCTTTATTGTTTCCTGATAACTATTATTTAGAGAGGCCGACTATAGGCAAGCATTTTATGGGTGCATTACGTTTGTCATCTTGTTCAATCCTTACAACAACTGTGATGACAGAAATGTCGTCTAACACAGGAGTTATTTTGTATTCACTGAGCCAAGCACTTCTATTACCTGGTCTAGCCCTCAGAACAATGCTATCACATGATGACTCTTATTATCCCCATTTACAGACAAGAACACTGGCAGGCAAGGTCATTTATAAGCCAGGAAATGACAGGGCCAGGACTGGAGTCCATATGACTTGTGCAGACAGCTATAGACATGAGGCAGGACAGCATTGTGTTGGTCTAGGTGAGGAGGACTTCACAGTGGTTGGTGGAATTTGGATAGATGACACCAAGATTCCAGGGGTTGGTTGGCCACTGTCATGTTTACTTGGTGCCTTCTCCAAAGAACAGAGAGTTAGGGCCCTGGCAAACAACAGGGTTTGAGGTGGCCCAGGTCACAGTGGCTATGTCTAGGAAAATGTTCTAGCTGGGCATGTTGGCACCTTCCTGTAATCCCAGCTACTTGGGAGGCAGAATCAAGAGGATCTCAAGTTCAAGGCCAGCCTGGGCAATTTAGTGAGACTCAGTCTGGAATAAATTTTTATAAAAAATTTTAAAATAATGTTCTGAGCTTCATAAACATATGCATCTGCCAGTGAGCAGGGAAATGGGGGCATTTATCTCAGTGATCCTTGAACTTGGGTAGTTTACCTCATGGCTCCATTTCAGATCTCACCTGCAAACCAGGTAGCCATCCTTAACCTGCCAAAAAATTGGGTGTACTACCTGACATTTGAAATCATTCTATTTTAAGAACTATCTTTTTGTTGGCAAGATATTTAAGAAGTACAAGATGGACTGGGGTTGTGGCTCAGTGGTAGAGCACTTGTTTAGCAGGTGTGAGGCCTTGGGTTCAATCCTCAGCACCACATAAAAATAAATAAGTAAAACGAAGGTACTGTGTCTATCTACAACTAATAATTTTTTTTTAAAAAAGAAGAAGTACAAGAACGTTTGTATATTCTTGAATTTGATTCAAGCCCGATGTTTAAATGCATAGAATTGTCTGTGTTCTACCCTTCTATAGCACCCAGTGTCCATTCTGTTTTCCTTATACGTGTCCCTATGCCTGTCTGACCCAGATAAAAGCCTGATGTGTTCCTCCAGGGATGGCCTGCAGGGTTCGAAGTCAGCCATTAGTAATGGGCCCTCTTCTTGGGAGCTCAGGGGCACGCACCATCCATTGCATTGCACTGATGCTCCTGCCACTTGTCTGGGCTACTGTGCTTGTTGAATTCTGATTGTTCACAGTTTCTGTCTCCACTTCTAAGTTGTCTCATTTCTCTCGGCTCTCAGGATGCCTATCTATGGAGTACTAAGGACTTTTTTTTTCCTTTTTGGTACTAGGGGTGGAACCCAGAGGTGCTCTACCACTGAACCACATCACCAGAGTCAGTATCTCACTAAGGTGCCCAGGTTGTCCTCAAACTTGTGATCTTCTTTCCTCAGCCTCCTGAGTTGTGTGTCATTGTGTCTGGCAGTGCTAAGGATTTTTAAAATTAGGAAAGACCCAAGTTCACTAAGACTATGTCTAAATCATGTGTGGCCAGAGTCTGAGAGGGAAGACCTCCAAGGAGAGGAATTCATGGGCTTTTTGGTGAATTTTTTGGTGAATCATGTTGGGCCTGTAGGAATCTTTGACTTCTGGGTCCTCGCTCTGCCCTCTAAGTTACTGGTTTTGCTTAGTAGTTGAATATGGGTGTTGGCGTCCACTTGCTCAGTTGAAACTGCTTAGTTACAGGTTTGATGGAGAGTCCTATCCTGATTCCATGGCCCCTCTCAGCACCTTGTCTGGTATAGGGCTTCCATTTACTTTCTGCTAAAGCAGTTAGGAGGAGGAGGACATGAACAAACCTGACTCAAGCTCCTTTCAGCTGTCACTATCCCATATGTGACTCCCTAGAAGGAGTTGCCTCTGGACATGGCTGCTGAAGGCAGGGTTGGAAAGAACTTAATTGTCCATACAAGTTGACTTCAGTGTGGTAGGAAGAATACATTCAAAATCTCAGTAGATTAACTCATGTCTTATATGGAGCTTTCTGTGAAGAACATCAGCCTTCCAGTGAGGGCCAGGCAGGCCCCTCATTGCAGCCCCTACTACTCAGGACCTCCCAGACTCCAAGCTTGCAGAAAGTGATACCCTGTGGTTACAAACCAGAGAATGGCATGGTGGTGGTGCTGAATTGAGTCCAGCTTCCTGGGCGCAGCAGCTCTGGCAGCATTCTCCCCACTGCTACATAAGCAGATCATTTGTGCATACATTCCTGGAAGAGTTCTGGAAAGCATTTGGGCTGGCAGACCAACCTGCAGGGAGGAAGGAGACAAAGGTCAGGTTAGCAGGCAAGGAACAATCCTGGAAGGCTTGAGGAAGAGGCCAGGCTATTCATTTTGCTTTCCATATCAAAAAGCTAAGGAGATTTAGGTGTGAAATGAAGCCTGGAAGGAGATGGGAAATGACTCCAGAGCACAGGTCATAGAGTCAAGAAGTCCTTGGTAGAAACTTGTTGCTGGACACATCGTGGTGGATACTCAGGAGGCCGAGGAAGAAAGGTGGCTTGAGCCCACTATGCCCCTTGGGTGCCCACAGGCAATATTTAATAGTGAATAGCCACTGCTCTCAACCCTGTCTGTCGCTTCCTCTCCCTCCCTCTTCTCTCTCTCTTCTCCCTCTTCCTCTGTCTCACTCTCGCTCCCCTCCCGCCGTGGTGCTGGCATTTGAAGCCAGAGCTATGCTAGGCAAGTACTCTACAGTGAGATTTATCCCCAGGGTGGGACCCTGTCTCTTTTTAAAAAGAAAAGAAAGAGAAGAAAAAATAACTGTGTTCATGGGAAAAAGAAATAAAGCCCAGGCTACTTGATTAGGCTTGGAAAAGAGGCACCTGAGCATTGATGTGAATGTCCCCAGCCTGGGTATCCAGGGCTTGGATAATCACCTTGGGTAGATTCCTCAGCCTTCCACTTTCTGAGTCTCTGGGAGAGATTCTAAGGGCTGCAGTGACTGTTCCCTTTTTCATCCCAAGGAGATCATGTCACACCAGGTCTCCTGCCCAGGTCACATCTTCAAACAGATGACTAATTACTACTATCCAAAGTCCTCACCCAGCCTCGGTTTTCACTTTAGTGGCTTTGGGGTAACAGGATAGATCATCATTAGAATGATAATCTTTTACATTTATGCAACACTTTATTTAAAGTAGGAATAGTAGAATTATTATTTTAGACTGAGAGATTTGCTGGAGGTCATAGCCTCATTTAACCCAGTTGGGGGACTAGGAGTATAGAAGACAAGGGTGGGACTGGGTTCTGTGTTTCAGAGGTGACACAACAGATTTGAAAATCTGAAAAGGCTCTAGAGAGGCCCCTTGTCTATGCCAAGTTTTTGCTGTCTATATGATACAGAATATTCTCTTATTACTTACTTATTCACTCATTTATTCATTCTTATGTGGTACTAGAGATTTAACCCAGGGATGCTGTACCACTGAGGTGTATTACTACCTCTTTTTACTTCTTATTTTGAGACAAGGTTTCACTAAGTTGCTGAAGCTGGCTGATCCTCCTGCCTCAGCATCCCAAGTCATTGGGATTACAGGTATGTGCCATAGAACCCTGGCCCATATTGATTTTTTTTTTTTTTGTACCAGGGATTGAACCCAGGGGCACTTAACCACTAAGCCACATCCCCAGCTCTTTTTCTTTTTTTTTTTTTTTTTTAATTTTGAGACAGAATCTCACTAAGTTGCTTAGGGCCTTGCTAAGTTGCTGAGGCTTGTCTAGAACTTCCGATCCTCTTTCCTCAGCCTCTTGAGTTGCTAGGATTACAGACATACACCACAGCTCCTGGCTCATATTAATATTTTAAATGCTTTGTTTCTTTCCTTTGTTTTATTCACCAAACTTCTTTGAATGGCTTTCTCATACTAGGTGCAGTGGAGTCAAAGATAACCTGGCTGGGGAGAGAGTCAGATAAAGATGTCCAGTGTGTTGAGGGCCTGGCTGTAACTGAACAGCAGGGCAGTGCCTGGGTGGCTTTCACTCTGCATCAACAGTTCAGGCTTTGCTATGTGGAGAGAATGTGGCAAGGGACCTGTGGTGGACTTGGACTTAGGACACCTGGGTCTAAATCTTGGTTGTATCACTTACTAGCTACGGGACCTTGGGCAAGTCACATACTCTCTTTGGACCTCAGTTTCATCATCTGATGAGTGGAGATAGTCACTCCATCATACCTCTCAGGGTGGATGAAAGGCACAAGTGAGAGAATGTCTGGGAAAGCACATTGCACAGGTGGCAAACTTTGAACGCAAAATCAAGCCCTATTCTACCTCCGCCACCCCAGCAGTGATACTGTGCATGGTTTTTACTTCAAGAACTTTATCAAAGACCTTATAGCCTGTACCCAACATTGCATAAAGATTCCTCCCACTCCCACCCCCACCCCAGAGGTGATTAGACTGTTTTCTTCTCCTGTTTCACAAGAAGGAAAGCTAAGCCCTAGAATTTTCACATGCCCCACCCCAAGGTCAAGGTTGAGTCTTTGGTGTAGAAGAATTGGGATCCTATCCTGGCCCTTTGATCCCAGTCTGCAACTCAAGGTGACTCCTGCAGCATCTGTGGGGGTGCTCCAGTTTCCAGCACCTGTCCCAGGTCAGTGTAGGGATACGGTGGGGCACCGGATGACTTCACCATGAGACACTGAGAAAAGAGTGCACCAGACTCACCCCCAACACTAAGGTAACCACTTCAGCCCTGTGAGCAGAGTGCCACTGCAGCTCTTACAGATGGTTTGTACCAATGTACCATTCTTGTCTCACTCTCTTGTCTCCCTCTCACCTTCCTCCTGCTCTCTTTTTTCCCTCTTCTTTTTTTATGCCATTGATTTGTTATAAAAATTTGGTCATTTGACCTGGTAATTATCTCAGTTCAGATTTAACTTATTCCTTTCACAGTTATTCAGCACATTCCTCTGCCCCCTATATTTCCTGTAAATTGGTAGTTAGATCTAAAGGAGGTGCCTTCCTATTGCTACTGTCCAATAGAAATGTAATATGAACTAAATATGTAATTCTGGTTTTCTTTGTGTTGGGGCATACTGGCAACTGAACACAGGAGCATTCTACCACTGAGAAATATCCTTTTATTTTTTGTCTTGAGACAGGTTTTCACTAAGTTGCTGAGGCTGTCCTCAAATTTGAAATCTTCCTGCCTCAGCCTCCCTATTTGCTGGGAATAGAGGTATATGCTACCACACCCAACTATTTCCCCCTCCTCTTCTTCTTCTTTCTGTTCCTCATGTATGGTGCTGGGGATTGGACCCAGGATGTTCTACCATGAAGCTACATCTCCAACCCTTTAAATTTTTTTTTTTAAATTTTGAAACAGGGTCTTACTAAGTTGCTCAGGCTTGTCTCAAATTTGTATTTCTCCTGCCTCAGTCTCCCAAGTAGCTGGAATTACAGGAGTGCATCACCACACCCAGCTGCACGGATTCTTTTATTCCATTCCAATCTTAATTATATTACTCAAGACACACCTACTTCATACAATGATCAATAGGTTACTGAACAGCTAAGAAAGAGTTAATGTAGCCACAGTGTTAAAGAGGTAGCACTGAGAGCAAAGGCAGAGAGCAGACACAGAGGCAAAACCGTTACTGCAGGTGGTCAGAGGAGATTAAGAACCAGCCTAAGAACTTGTTGAGGGCTCAGAACTTGTTCAAGGAACTTGTCAAGTGGTCTGACAAGGTGATGGGGTAAAGGACCAGTGTGTCCTGTCTTAGGGGTCCTTCCCTATATGCTTCAGGTAAGAGAGTTGAATCATTTGGTGGTCTAGTGTGTTTGATAAGCTCATGAACCTATTTTCTCTGATGAGGCTTTGATACACTCATACATCCATCTGCCTCTGATTTAATTTGAGAAGTTCATAGGTGGTCATTTTTTTATTAGTACAATTAATCTATTCATCAGTTTGTGCCTTATGATTGTGCTATGTAGCTTGGGGTTGTTCTTTTTTGTAAGTTCTATATGTCCAACACCTAGTGGTTTAGCAGTTTGACCAGGAACATTACCAAGTCATGCTGCCTTAGCACTTGACTCAAAATGCAGTAACTCAGGGCAAACTACTGCTTCATAACTCAGGGCTAACTCCAGAGTAACTCAGGGTTAGGCACGAGCTGAAAACTGCTGTTCCATACTATGTGGAGTAACTCAGAGCAGGGTCACAGCTGGCTCTCTACAGTCTCTAAATTCTTAACTGATTCCAGCATCAAATCCAAAGTTTGTTTACTTTGGTGCCAGAAATTGAACCCAGGGCCTCACACATGCTAAGCCAATGCTCTAACACTGAACTGCTTTCCTAGCAACTACAAGGTTTAAAGTCCAAAGTCTCATCTAAATATCATCTAAATCAGTTATGGTGAGACTCAAGGTATGATTCATTCTGAGGCAAATTGCTTTCCAGCAATTTGTGGAAATGAATTTGTATGAATTTGTGACATAAAATGTGTTATATACTTCCAAAATACAATAGTAAGACAGGCATGGGATGGACATTACCATTCCAAAAAAGAGAGAATTTTAATATTTATTTTTTAGTTTTTGGTGGACACAACATCTTTGTTTGTATGTGGTGCTGAGAATCGAACCCGGGCCACACGCATGCCAGGCGAGCGCGCTACCGCTTGAGCCACATCCCCAGCCCCCAAAAAAGAGAAATAGGAAAAAGGAAAAGAGTGACAGGTTCTTTTTTTTTTTTTTTTTTGTACTGGGGATTGAACCCAGGGGTGCTTAACCACCGAGCCACACCCTAACCCTTTTTTATATTTTATTTAGAGACAGGTTTCACTAGATTGCTTAGGGTCTTGATAAATTACAAAGCTAGCTTTGAACTCACGATCCTCCTGCCTCAGCCTCCCCAGCCTCTGGGATTACAGGCGTGCACCATTGCGCCTGGTGGGAGTGACAGGTTCTGAGTCAGTCTAAAACTTGAGACTCCAGAATACTTTTTGGCTTAATGCTCTGCCCTTCAGGCCCTCTGGGACAGAGGTCCTGCCCATACAGCTTTGGGTGGCCCTGCCCTCGTGCTTTTGCTATGCACAGCCCATGCCTCAGTTCTCACGGATTCTCCTGGCAGAAAGTACACCTGTGGCTCAATTGGTTTGAAGTCTCAAGGACTCCCATTCCAAGGAAACCTAGGTGGAGGCAGCCATACCCACGTGACTTTGCTTCACACAAGCCCACAGCAGGGCTCCTCTGGGAACCACACCTGAAGTGTGTGATGATGATAGAGTTGGAGAGCCCACTCTATGAGGCAGCTCTGGGTAGTGAGCCCTCCTATGGTGGTTCTATTCCCCAGGCCCTGGCACTATGGGTCTGTGATGGGAAGGGCAGACCCCTTTTCTTCCATGATCCCTGAAATGACTTCAGGGTCTTTCTGTCATTGTCTGGGACAGTAGATTGACTAATCTCCCTATTATTATTAGATTAGATGGCTGACTAATCTCCCCCATTGTCTTGCTGAGTAGCAGCTGGCTTCCCTTGACATGGCTGATCCAGATTAATCTCTTTATGAGCAATCCTTGGCCACACCTTTGTTCTCTCCTAAACAGGTTTGCTCATTTTTTACCCCCAATGTAGTAGGCTGAGAATTTTTCCCACTTTTAAGTTTTATTGTCTTTTTGATAAACAATTCCATCTTTAAAATATTTCTCAGCTGGTCACAGTGGCCTGTGCCTGTGATCCCAGCAGCTCAGTAGACTAAGGCAAGAGGATTGCAAGTTGGAGGCTGGCCTGGGCAACTTAGCAAGACCTTGTCTCAAAACAAAAATTAAAAAAAAAGGATTGGCAAGCTGAGAGTGGTAGTACATGCCTATAATCCCAGCAACTCAGGAGGCTGAGGCAGGAGGATCCCAAATTCAAAGCCAGGCTTAGCAACTTAGTTGTGTCCTAAGCAACTTAGAGAAAGACTCTGTATCAAAATAAAAAAGGGCTGCGGGCATAGTGATAAAGTACCCCTGGGTTTATTCCCCAGTACCATAAAATAAAAATTTGTAAGACAGGGTGAGCAACTCAGTGAGACAAAATAAGGCTGGGGATGTATGTGGCTTAGTGGTCAAGTGCCCCTGAGTTCAATCCATCCCCACCTCAAAAAAAAAAGGATGGCAATGTAGCTTAGATGTAGAACACTGCAGGATTCAATCCCCAGTGCTACAAAAAATAAAATAAAAAAATAAAAATAACTAAGAATAAAATAAATAATAAATTAAAAAGATAAAAATTGAAATTAAAAAGATAACACATTTCTCTCTTTTTACTTACTGTGAGCAGTCAAGAGGAACCAGGTCACTCCTTCAACATTGTACTTAGAAATTTTCTCAGCCAAATATCTAATTTTTTCATTCAACCTTCCACAAATTACAGCATATAAACAAAATTCAGCCAAGTTCTTGGCTACTTTGACTTTTTCTTCATTGCCCAGCATCTTGTTCCTTATTTCCATCTGAAACCTCATCAGAATGGCCTTTACCCTCCATAGTCCTACTAACATTCTATTCATGACCACTAAGGTATTATTCTCTTACAAGTCCGAGAGTCTCCTCCTGTCCTTCCAAGCCTTCACCAAAATCACCATTCGTAACCCATTCATGACAACATGGACTGGGTGGTTTATTTAAACAGAAATTTATTTCTCATGCTTCTGGAGGCTGGAAAGCCCAAGATCAAGGCACCAACAAATTTGGTGTCTAGAAAGGGTTTACTTCCTCATAGATAGCATCTTTCCTGTACCCTTGCTAGGCGGAAGAGATGAATGAGCTCTCTGGGGGTCTCTTTTATAAGGGCTCCAATCCCATTCATGAGGCCTCCACCTTTATGATCTAATCACTCCCCAAAGGCCCCACCTCCCAATATCATCACCTTGGGGGTTAGAATTTCAAAATATTAATTTGGGGGGACACAGGTATTCAGACCATAGCATCATTCCCCAATGCTTCTTTCCATTCTCTGCCACCTCAGTCATACAGAGAAGATGGTAACTGCCAGGATAACCAGGGACCTGGGCCTAAGTGTCAGCAGAGACCTTTCTGGCAATATCCTCAGGGTGATTTGTGCCCTTGACCCCCAAAAGAAAGAATACAGCAATCGGTGTTTGATGTTGCTTGGACAAGATCCTAGGCAGGGCAAGGGGGATTCTGCCTTCCAGGATGCCTGGGGGTCAGGTGCGGGGTGCACCCATCCACCTGGCCTCATGACACACAAGGCTGACCGGGCCTGGGCCCTTCCTGCTGGTGTCTTGCAGAGTGTCTGGTGGAGAGCTGTTTGATTTCCTGGCCCAGAAGGAGTCGCTGAGTGAGGAGGAAGCCACCAGCTTCATTAAGCAGATCCTGGATGGGGTGAACTACCTTCATACAAAGAAAATTGCTCACTTTGATCTTAAGGTCAGTAAGGGGAATAAAGGAAAATCAGCATAGGGCAAAGGGGTCCAGTCCCTCCCGATGTCATTGCCAGGTGGGGCCCAGTGCCCACTTGGCTCTCTTCCCTTACTTTAAATTTCAAATCCTGAGGGCAGCTGGGCACAGTGTCACTCTCCTATAATCCCAGTGATTTGGGAGGCTAAAGCAGGAAGATTGCAAGCTCATGGTCAGCCTGAGCAATGTAGTGAGACCTTGTCTCAAAAATAAAAAGGGGCTGGTAGCTCAGGGGTAGAACAGCCTCAGGTTCAATCCCTAGCACTTTAAAAACCAAAAAGAAAAAAAAAAGAAAGAAATCCTGAGGGCTAGGGATATAGTTCAGTGGTAGAGCACTTGCTTAGCATACACAAGGCTCTGGATTCAATCCCCAGCACTGTTAAAAAAAAATAAGTAAAATAAAAATCAATCAGTTAATTAAATAATTGAAACCCTGAAATGATGCATGGTAAGTGTCCACCTCTTCAGATTCATTTCATCTATCAGACTTTCTGCAAATTAGGGCTGACTTCAAGAAGCTTCTTAATCAACTACAGGCACCTTTTCTCTTCCAGGGGTCAGGTAGGACATAGATTTTAAATAAGTAGACCAATGACAGGAAGCTTAAAACCAAACCCATTTCACAAGATTGAACTTTTCAGTAACAAAGAGCTCTGTCCTGAGTGGGTGGAGGGTTTGGAGAATTGCTAAAGTTGGCTGCCTCTCTGGTCCCTGGGAGCACGGTGCAGCCTCCAGCATTCCTCCACCAGAGACTATAAATCTTTGAGCCCAGGGACCACTGGCTGCCCTCTTCCATCCGACCCCAAACACTGGACATAAACTGCTTCCAGAGCCCACTGATCATTTGTGGTAACTGGCATTGAGGGTTGATAAAGTTCACACTGACCACATAGGACTTCATGAAGAAAGAATGTGGTCAAAGTAGAAGGATCTGTTCCTTAGTAACTGACCTCAGTCACACAGACATCTGATGAGCCTTGCAGATATCTAACAAATAAAGGTCCTTGAACTTGTGGTCAGACCCATGTTTCTAGGAAGGAGGCCCATTCATCCTTCTATCCAAAAATCCCTGTGGCCTTTTACCCGGCTCTCTCCTGGATGCCTGGATATTGCTGAGATGCAAAATCACCTGAGGCCTATCATGGCTTAGTACAGAAGATAGATCAATGGCTCTAAATGTATGATAGAGAGAAGCACAAGGGCACTGGGGATCCAAATGACGATATACCTAAGACTGGGGTATCAGAGAGGGCTTCCTAGAAGAGATGGTATTTGAGTTGAGTGTCCTGAAGGACTCGCAGGTGTTAGCAGAGGGGAAGGCCCTTCTGAGGAAGAGAGGCCAGCAGATTACACATCATGAAACAGCACAGTTCATTTAGGGAAGTACAGGCAAAGGGAATATGTGCTAAGTGGCTGGGAAATAGGCCAGGAGAGGGGCAGGAGGCAGACAAAAGGAGTTGGAGCTAAGCCAAGAAGGTTGCACTTTACCCTGAGAGATACAGAGGCCAGGTGAGCAAGGGTGTGTTTCGGAGCCATCCCTCTGGCTGGAGTATGGATAGGATGGGGATGGCCTGGCAGCTGGGGGCCCAGCTAGCAGGCTGATAATCTGGATGAGACATGAGGAGAGATGGATCCAAGATCTATTGCAGGGCTGGGGTTGTGGCTCAGTGGTAGAGCACTTGCCTGGCATGTGTGAGGCCCTGGGTTTGATCCTCAGCACCTCATATAAATTAATAAATAAAATAAAAGATCTATTGATAACTAAAAATATATATTTTAAAAAAGATCTATTGCAGAGGTCAAACTGAGGATTGATTTGGTACCTAATTCAATGCGGAGTTGAGGGAGAGGGCAGGGTCCAGAATGACATGCAAGTTCTGGGGTGGGGGACTGGCCCAGAGAAGCTATGGCATGCTCGTAGTCTCACAGCTGTGCCAAGGTGTGGGCTCAGTCCCCTCACATAGGTTCCTGCCCCAGCTCTTACCCTGCCTCACAGGGTGACCTGCTGTGAATCCCCTTAGCAAGTCCCCCCTTGTTATATTGATTGTCACAGTATTTTGAATTTAGAAAATGTTTCTCTAGGGTGTTGAGTAAAAGTTGGGATCACACAGGAGGGTGACGCCTGGGCAGGCCTTGGACTTCAGGGTGGTGATACACTGAACAGGAAATGCTCTGCCTAAACTGCACCTGGGTCTCCTTCCCGTGGACAATTAACTTGTTGTTTTCTTGTGTCTGCTGGCTCCAGAAGACGGTCTCAAAATGGGCTCCTTTGTCTTTCTCTTGCTGGAGCCCGCAGGCCTGATACTGAAACAGGTTCATGGTGTTTGGTTTGCTTCCGTGGCAGATCATGTGGTGCAGGCGGGCGGCTTGGAGTCAGCCAGGTGGGACTTTGCTCCTCACTCCCGTGTACCAGGATACATCTGAACCTCAGTTTTTCTTCTTGGATGCAACACATTTTTGTTGCGAATAACAACAGCTACCTGGCAGAGTTGTTGTAACAGAGAGAAGAGGCATGAAGTGCTGAATATGGAATATGTGCTCTGTAATAATAATTGTTATTGTTATTCCCCTTCCCAGAATAGAGGGAAAGAGAAGACAACTCATTAGTGTTTTGGGATCTGATAGGCTAAGGAAACGTACTCTGCTAATGCAGTTCTCAATTGCCCAGCAGAGAGCTGAGATTGATTTCTAGGTGAAACTGCTGGTGGGGCCTGGCCTGGTATCTAGCTCCTGGGCTCAGTCTGAACATTTCCCATGACCAAGAGGCAGCCCAGGTTTCCCTGGAAGCATGTAGGGTGGCAATGCTGCTAATCCCCACCCATGGCTGTATATCCTTACAGTGTATGGACTCTGAGCTTTCTAACTACCTGACTCATAGGTCCCTTCACTCAGGCCCAGCTCAGCAACTTGGGGAAGTGATGAGTAGCTGGAACTCAGAGACATCCCCTCATGGTTGAATAGACGCTTCCTGCATTCAGGATGTGGGTAATGTGTGTCTCCTGGCTGGAACTTTCTTTTTTCTTTTAACTTTCTTCTCTCTCTTTCTCTCTCTCTTCTGTAATGGGGCTCCAACTCAGGGCTTTGTGCATGCTAGGCAAGTGCTCTACCATTGAGCTACATCCCCAGTCCTTTTTGTTTTTTATTTTGACACAGGGTCTCCCTAAGTTGCCAAGGCTTCATAAACTTTTAATCCTCCAATCTTGCTCTCCCAAATTGCTGCAATTACAGGCATGTACCACTCTGTCTAGCTTGTGATGGGTCCTTGCTACCCATAGGATACATGAATCCATTCTCAGCATGGCATTCAGGCTTTTCTTGCACTATCTCAGCCCTGTTTCTGGCCTCATTTGCCCTTCCCCACTCCAAGACACCAGCCCTGCACATTCTGGCCTTTCTCCTCCTCCTGTTCATGCTGCTCTCATCCAGGATGCTGCTGCTCTTCCTTTTTCCTCCCCAGTGACTTCCTGATCATTCTTCAAGGCCAGCAGAAGTGGCATTTCCTTTAGCCTTTGCCATCTCTGCAACCTCCAAAAGTATAACTAAGAACTAACCTGCTGGCCAGGCATGGTGGTATATGCCTATAATCCCAGTGGCTCAGGATGCTGAGGCAGGAGGATTGTGAGTTCAAAGCCTCACCAACTTAGTGAAGCCCTAAGCAACTTAGTGAGACCCTGTCTCTAAATATAATATTTTTTAAAAGTCTTGGGATATGGCTCAGTGGTTAAGCTCCCCTGGGTTCAATCATTAGTACTAAAAATAAATAAACAAACTAGCCTGCTTCTCTGCTTTTGCTGCCCTTTGTACAAATTTCTGCTAAGAGCATGCATCATTACGAATCACTTTCTTCTGCACAGTGCTTGCCATATGATGAGTCATTCTGTGTTGAATGAATGAATGGATACCTTAGTGAAGAACAAATGTGCTTATGGATGTGCAAGGCCCTTTCATGTCTCACTTGGAAAATGTAAATGAGGTTACAGGTAGAGTTTAATTCAATAATGTGAACATTTCTTGAGGGCCTGCTATAATCCAGAGGGGAGAGTGACAAATATCAATGTGACGTAGCACCTGACCTCCAGGGGTCCACTGTGTACAGGGAGATGCATACAGTGATTCCATGGGAGGCCATATAAAATAAACACTAATGGATTCTCACCAAATAATGCCTGCTTCCAAAGGGTGAGCTCTTTGTGTGAGCAGAGTGGAGATCATCCTGGTGTGTGTTGCAAATTCACCATAGATGTGGTAAAGTGGGGCTGGTAAGGGTAGATGATGTTGAAGTTACACAGATGGAAGGGACATTGAGGCTGGCTGCCCCTCAGTGCCAGGTGGCACCTGACAAGCCTCCTGCAAGACAAACAACTAGGAAGTGGGGCTCAGTGCCATCCAGGAACCTCACCCATTTCAACACAAATAAAGGTCTTCTAGGGAGTATTTGTAAGTGGTTTTATGCTTATTTTGGATTTGGGAGTTTTCCCTGAGTATGGGTGTGTCCTTTCTTTCCCATCCCCACCCTAACCTGATCCAATTTGAAAATCTGAAATGGAAGAGTCTCCAGGACTAAGGGTATTTTAAGTAAAAGAACAAATCATGAGAAATTATTAAAATTGGATGCAAGCCAAAACTCTGAGCGGGCCTTTTGATTTACCCCTGTAGTGCCTAGAATCATCCTCTGTGCTGCTCTTAGGTTCATAGTGTGATCAGGACCACTGGTTAAGCTTTCCTAAGAATGATAATGATAATGCTTTAAGTGTATATGGAATTTTTCTAGAATGTAGCATGCTTACACATCTTTTTTTTCTCATTTAACCCATTGAAGAAGAAGATATTCTCACTTTTTTAACATATAAAGCAATTGAAATTCAGAGAGATTAAATAATTTGCCAAAAATCACACAGATATTGAATGTTGAGGACTTGAACTTAATCAGAGAGGAAACTCTAAGAAAAGCTGAGTTATTTCACCAGATG